AATAGGACTTAAGTGAACACATTATATAGAATAACATTGGACTAAATTGGATTTTATTAATATATAACAACACATTAGGTGTTTTCAAGACCAAGTTTAGTCTTTGCTTGATTTTAATATGAATAATACAAAAATACTAAGGGACATATTTTATAAATTTCTTAGTAAATTTCTGCCATTAAAAAGTTACCTTTCAAACCAGACGTGGTGGTACACACCTATAATTCCAGCATTCGGGAGGCTGAGGCAGGTGGATGGTTGGGAGTTCGAGGTCAGCCTGAGCTACAAAGTGAGCTCAAGGACAGCCTGAACTGCACAGTAAGACCCTGTATCAAAAAGACAAAAAAAAATTATCTTTCAAAATATGGTGTTATTCCACCTAAAGTTTTTTCTTTCAGGAGAAACTTTAAATGTTCAACTTCGTATACAGTATATAGTCAGAACTTCGTATATAGTCAGAAATTTTCAGAAAAACAGAAATAGGTACAGATGGAAAATGTATGGGTAAAGACAAAAAAATATTATAAAGAATAGCTCGTGTGTTTGTGAAATCCATCAAGTCCCATGATGCTTGGTTGGCAGGTGGAAACGCAGAAGAGCTGATGGTGTAGTTTCAATCCAAACCCAAAGGTCTAAGAACACATACAGCCGATTGTATATTTGTATTCCAAATACTTGCAGGCTCAAAAGCCAACAAGAACCAAGTTTCTGTTTGAATCCAAAGCCAGAAACAAAGCCAATATTCAAGCCCCAAGGCAGTAAGATAGAGGAATCACTCTCACTGCTGGAAGAGTCAGGTTTTGTCTTCTACCTAGGCCTATACCTCATTTTTTGATGCTCTCCCACATTAAGGAGGGAAAACTTTATTACTCAGTTTACTATTCTCATGTTAATCTCCTCCAGTAATACCCTCTCAGACACACTAGAATAATGTTTGGCCACCCTATGGCCTAGTGACATTGGCTCACAAAACTAATCAGCATACCTGGTGTGGAAGGACCTACACCCAGAACAGATCACCTTAGCTATGATTTTTCATATAACTCCTTCCTTCAGCCATTCAGAGCTAGTTTTATTTCCTTGAAATCCTCTTGACTGTTCACGGGCATGTATATTCACATGTCTCCCCTCTGTCTGGTTTGATAACCTTTGTTTTGGTTCAAGTTCCCCAAGAAGATCAGGAAATAAAGATTGAGTGGAAGCACTTTATTTGGGAGGTGATTCTAGGGAACACCAATGGGATAGTGAAGAAGTGAGGCAGGGGCAGGAGGAAGGGCAACAAGATTAAGTTATAAACCAGCTCAAACCAGCCATCTGGAGCTCAAGACCAATGGGGAGAGGGGCACTGATGGAGATAGCGTGGAACAGGCTTAGAATATTTTTTAATGAGCCCATGCAGCTATGGAGTTGGGGTCCTGATGTGCCAGTCCTGCCAGTCATTTGTGCACAGCTGGCCCCAGGAAGATTTCACTCACCGGTACTTGTTAAGTGGGCTGGGGTACCCAGAGAACGCTCCTACGCAAAGAACTGGGAGCAGGAAGCTGTAACTCAGGCTGGTATGTGTACTGGTGTCAGTCAACCAGCAGATATAGACAGGCAAGCCACATTTTCTGTGCATCTCCTGCAACTTCTTTTCCTCTTGCTAAACTCAGCTCACCCTTTAGGACTCAGATGAAACCCCACCTCCTCTGCAGAGCTGTCAGTGACGTTCTAACTTAGATGCCTTGTGTCATTTTCCCTATAGAACCTCTGCTTATGTACCAGAGGATCTGTGACTTTCAGCTCTGATTGTTGTTTTACCTTTCTGTATCACCTACTTTATGATTTCCTTGAGGAAAGGGATCATTCACCGGTATCATCAAGGCTTAGCATGATTTTTGCACGTGGTAAAGAAATCTCAGTAAATTGTTAAAGTAATGAAAGTAATAATAATGATATAATAAAAGTAATAATCAGTATTTAATTTTCATTCTTTGTATATGTTATCAACTATAGAAAGTTGGTAATTTTATTATCTCTGTTTTTCAGATAAAAAACTGAAGTATACAATATACTATTTTCTGTTATTTACCCAAGATTCTGAGATTGCAAAGTTGCAAGTAGTTGGGCCATTTGGTAGAAATGTCTTTATGGATTCTATTATATGAAATGAGTAGCATTAGTTACCAAGGAGTACAAAGAAACATAAGACATGGTCTTTCTCATCATAGAATCCATGATCTGGAAATGGGCGTATGGGAGACAGATATGTTGATAAGTAACTAGACTTATGACTTTGTGGTAATGGTAACTAATACTAAGCATTTATTGATGTTTCAGTAACTGTCCTGGTGCTTCACATGGTATTATTTCATTTAATCCTTATAACAACTCTGAGTAGTAGGCATTATTATACCACTGTACATCTGATGAACCTGAAACTCAGGAAGATTCAGTAATTTCTCCAAGATCACATGCCTAAAGAATGAGTAGTTGAGGGGCCAATTTGTAGACCTAAGCCCAAATGCCCTTTAAGTTCATGCTCAGAATAAGATATACCTAAAATAATGTACACACACACACACACACACACACACACACACAAAGAAACAAACAAAACACTGTTCATCCAAACCTGAATCACCAGATGCTCTGGAAAGACTTAAAGATATTTCTCCTCCAGTTTAGCTGTCTCTTCTCTGTTCTTTAACATTGGCTTGCCTCCATCAGAGACTCTAAGTTGGCCTTGAAGGATGAGAATGAAAAGGGATGGAGGAGAACATCATTAGCATGAGTGACGCAGGTAGAGGAACCCAGAGGATGCAGTAGTTTAGCCTCCGAAGGTCTGTATGCTAGATGCTTGGTTCCCAGTTAATGGTGTCAAGGTGGTGAGACTTTTAAGAGATAATTATATCACAGGAACACCATGCCAGGAAGGGATTAATGTAGTTTTCACAGGACCAGGTTTCTTCTCAGGAGACCAGGTTGTTATAAGATATCCTGGTCCCCCTTCTCTTTTGTTTCCCCTCTCTCTATGTGAATTCTTCTGCATACACTTTACCTCCACCACATTGCCATCACCATGTTGTGACATAACCAGAAGCTCCGCACCAAAAGCAGAAGAGATGGAGTCTTCAGATCTTCCACTTTCAGCCTCTAAAATTGTGAGCTGAATAAACTTATTTATAAAGTACCCCGCTCCAAGTATTTTATGATAGTGGCAAAGTGGTTAGAACAGATACTGTTGGCCTTGAGTGTCACCTGGAAAATCTAGACTTTTCTCATTAAATAGAAAGTAGTTGCTGAATGATTGTGAACCAGATCTGAACTGTATGTTAAGATTGATTTGGCAGCCACATATGAAAAAAGTGGGAGTGTGGGAGTGCAAAAAGAGCAGCAATTAGGGAACCTCCCAGATACCTAAAACAAATCACGCTGGGAGCCACACTCTAGGTTGACACATGAGCAGATAGCAACAAGCCTACAAAGAGGACAGGACTTGCAGCTGCCTGACTTTCTAGTCCATTTGGGCTATTGCCATAGACTGAGTGCTTTACAAACAACAGGCATTTATTTCTCACAGTTCTAGAGGTCGGATCGCCAAGGTTAGGGTTTCTACAGATTCAGTGACTGGGAAGGGCTCAATTCCTTATGGAAAATGATCTTCTCATGTCTTCACATGGCAGAAGGGGCTCTAAAATAGATTCTCCCATGGGCAAACAGGCAAAATGTTAGGGGTCTCTCATGGGACTTTCCTTTAAGGGTGCAAACCTCACTCATGAGGATTCTACTTTTGTGGTCCAATCACCTCCTACTCACATCACCTTGGGATTAGCTTCTCAGCAGTTGAACTTTTGGGGAGGGTATCAACAGTCAAACCACAACTCTGAATGGGTGGACATTCAAGGTAAGAGATGACAGCATGTCAATAGTTGAAAAGAGCTAGTATGTTGTCAGTAATGCAGAGGGATCACACGGCAAGTTTGCAGGTGCATGATAAAGTGTTTGGATTTACAGGTACAGTAAAACAGCACTTTTTCCAACACAGTGCAGGGATTTGAAATGTATATGTGCTTGACGTGCAGCCAAATGATAATGCCTACATTTCTCCAGCATTTGAGATGGGCATTCATATTGTTAACACATGTAGAAAATTATCAGGTTAATATCCTTTAGTTATTGAGGGCTGATCAGGCCCGCAATCTCCCAAACAAGTGGACGGGGAAGGCTTAAATAAATGAGACAAATGAAATGATTTCAGGGCTACAGGAGGGTCTAACTCTCTTACAATATTTTAGATTCTCTGGGTTAAGACCCAGACTTCCCTGGGCTGCCTGTATTTATTAGGTTTGCAAATAAAGGAGGGGGATAGTGAAGAAAATGCAGGAATCTGGGTAGGACTTGAGAAACTCTTTATGGAATTCTCCAAGTAATACATATGTTAATTTAGGAGAACTAAGTGAACTCCAGGAAGGCCTTCACTGCAGGAGTGAGATGCCTGCAGCTATAGTCTCCTTTTAATTAATTGGGGTTGAAGCCAAAAGTCCTCAGCTGTGACCTTATCTTGTCCTTTGAGGCCTCATGGCTTCACCCACCATTACAGGCCTCAGTAGGGACCAGTGACTCACAAGTAAACATGGAAAGCCAATTGGTTAATATAAGTCCTGCTCAGAGCTGCTTCATAGAGGTTTCCATCAGAAAATGTGATATTTTAGTTTGTGATTCACAATTTTGAAGAACTGAAATGACCGATGTGCCCATATATAACTTGTCTAAGCAAAACAAATTATTGCATATATAACTTGTTATAAATATAGAATTTCTAACTTCTAAAAAAAAATATAAACCCATGCTGTTAAATTATACTCTAATATATATACATATATTTCTTAACTCCACAAGGTAATATCTGAAATGCATGTTTTAACAGTCTCTTTTCTTCCTTTTTTCCCACTTTATTAAAATTGGAAAATTCTAGTGTTTCCAGCATTTACATGGGTCTTTATCTTTTATTTTAATAGATGATAATAATGAAGAAGACGTTGACATGAAAGAAGAATCAGGTATTAAATATTTAATCTTATTACTTGCAATAAGCAAAGGTCATTTTTTGGTCGATGTATATCTTATATTTTTTCAAAAAAGACAAAATAAGGTTAATAAAATAAAAATGTATGCTCGGTGTCATAAAACAAGGAAGCACTGTGCTAACTCTTCAGCCAAATGCAGTTAATATATTTAAATTGGATTTTGAGCTTCCTGACAGCTAAGGTAAAAAATATAACATGATGCTGTAGTTAATAGAGTTGTGTAATAAATCACCCCCACATCCTGGTGCTGCAAGCAACCACTTATGATCTTCACATATCCTGTGTGTGAGCAATATACACAGCACAGCAGAGATGACCTGAGCATCCTATCCCACCAAGTCTGAGACTCACCTGGAAGCCTCAGTAGCTGGGGAGTAGGAATCATCTGGAAATCCATCCACTCACTTGTTGGCAAGTGATGGCTTCCAGCAACCTGCTAAAGCCTTAGTTGGAGGCAATTTCCTGAAGTACTTGGCCCCTTTCTGTGGTCTGAGCTTCCTCAGAGTATCTTGACTCAAAAGAGTGAGCCAAGGAGAAGCTGTACCCTTTTGAAGACCCAGGCTTAGAAGTCTCATAGCACCCCTTCCACTAAGCTACGTTCTTTGGAACAGTCACAGTCCACCCACATGCAGGGGAAGTAAAAATAGACTGAACCTCTTGATGGGGAATGGCTCTGCAAAGCATGTGAGACCTAAACTTCATTGTAGCCATCTATGGGAAATACACTTTCTACACAGCACGTATTGTTCTCATGATCAGAAATAAAGGTGCATGACAACTTCTCTGGAAAGACTAGTATTTATGAGAGAAAGCCAGTGCTTAAAACCATGGGTTCTGGTCTAAGGTAATCACTCCATATGTCCCTGATAATGAATTCAGGAATTGATAGACCTGAATCCAAGTCTAACCACACCACTTACTGACTGATGCTGAGAAAATGTCTTTCTCTGTAAACCTTACTTTACATTTCTGAAGGCAGTAATTCCCACCACAGTGCTTCATGTGAGAGATTAAATGATATATCATACTTTAAAGGTTTGTCATAGTGCTTGACCCACAGTGAAGATTCAAGAAATTATTGCTTCTTTCCTTTCTCATTCTAACAAATATTGAAAGGATATAGAACTTAATTCTATAGTTAAGACACTCACATTCCCCATTTCAACAAATATACTGCCGTAACGATTAAAAAGAGATTGATTTCAAAATTAAAATAGCTATTTTAAAGGTTCTTTTTTGTACCTCTCACTGCATTCCAAAATCTCTCTACAAACCGGTGGCAATCTGAGTCGAAGTAGCTCTGCAAACAGGAGCTCTTTAAATTCTGACATGGTGGATCACACTTGGTAAGGGTTGGTAAAAAGAGGACTGCTCCTTGTTAAATTAAATTTCTCTCCCTTCTCTCACCACCCACTATCTTCATGAAAGAAATAACAGTTCCTTTTCTTTATAGAAGTTCGCTCTCACAATGATTAGAGCTTATATTTCCTTTTCTCTAGTCTGGACGTGTCTGATTTGCAAGGTTCCCTTGTTCCCCGCAAAGGCAGCAGACTCAGGGAGCATGAGAGGTAGACAGAAGTCCAACAAGTCAGAAGCAGGATGAAGGAGATAGGAAAGGGACACCAACAGCAGCTGTTAGTGCCTTACTCATGACCCTTGGGCAGCCGCTATCACAATATCAACTTTCTAAGGAAAGTTCTCACAACTCTGCTGAGTGCTTGTCCTAGTCATGAAAGCAAACTCAGAGTACCAGTGAGATTATTTATCTGAAGCAACCCTGCTATCAGTGGTGGACAAGAGCTGGGTGATCGACAGTCCTGTAGAGCAAACCAGAGCCCTGGATTCCCAGTGAGACTTGTTCATGCATACCCCCAGTTCTGGCTACCTTCCTTTTCTTATCTCATTTCCCTCCTCCCTTTACTGATGCTTCCTGGGATACTCTCTCAAATTAACTGCTTGCATTCAAACCTTTGTCTCAGAGTCTGCATCTAAAAGAATCCAATATGAGACAAGAACTCTGCTTGCTTTTTGTAAACTGTAAAGAAGGCTAATTTTCTATGAGAATTTCAATTCCTACACCCATGTAGAACGTCTTAGTGTTAAAAAGGACTTTGGGGTCAATGAAAGACCTCAAATGGTCGCTCTCATTGGATTAGAAGGCACAAATTTAATGTTAATCTTCGCTATTTCCATTTCTCCTGCTCCCAGGAAGTGTCTTGTAGTGTCTTTCAGTCATAGGGGTGCTAATTTCTCTCACCACCCAGGATAAGAACCTTTTTTTGCCATGGGTCATTTGCCTATATGCCATAAAGACACATTCCTGTGCAAATGGAATTGATTTTTGAATATTTAAGTAGTTATCCAAACCACTGAGTTATTTTAAAGAAATTATTAATGGTAATGCAGAGTTCACAAGGTTGGAGTCAGCATCTGAGGTTTGGGGGCACTCATAGGACCATCATTTCTGGTTTTATTCACCCCAGATTTCCTGAGAGCTTTGTCTAGCAGTGGGGCACAGCTGTCCAAGTCACACTCAGTGTCCCCAAGATACTAAGCCACTCAGGCAGAGTGGGCTTGGGGAGCTACTCTCCATTTCCTAGCATCTCAGAGCTGAAATCATGAGGAACTTGTGTTGTGGAGTTCCAAAGCAAGCCAGCTGGCTCTGCCATATATGTGTACAGGCTGGCTTCATAAAAATCTCTGGCTGAATCTAAACCAGCTCCCCAAGACCATTAACCTCTGCTCATTTCCCTCCAATGTGCATCACTTCTTCGCAGGTAAATAAATGTGCTGAGATATTTTTAAGATTGCAATCCACACTGCTGAAGGGCTGCTCAAGTGAATCAATCTGCCAAGAAATGCTGATGAATGATAGTGAATAACAAATAGCTAAAACCAGTGGTTGATGGAAATTGACTCTGAGTACCGGTGTCTCTCATATAGAAAGTTTTCAGATTTCCGTGGTGTAAACACAGCTACAATGGTCTTTTACAGTCTACCAAAATGAGACCAGTGAATGTGAGAGTTCGGGAGAGATGGTCCAGTGCATTGGTATGAGCCAGCTGAGGTCAGCATCAGCACACTCTCGCTAAGCCAGATTTTGATCAAGCATGTTCTCTGTGCCAATCAGTTACCACACATGAACTCATTTCCTGTGTGTGACAGTTCTGTGTTATTACCAAGGCTTAAGCAGGATGAGTTCTCGCTTAAATAGCACAGCCAGAATTTGAATCCAGGTTTGCCTGATAACTGGGCTCATGTTCATAATTTTCTTACATCTGTCTCCAGACTCTTATAGTAAGTAGAGCAAGGCACACCTCAGATGGTGTCAGACCAGGTCAAACTCATGATGAAGCCCTGCCCCCATGGGAGGTAAAAGAAACAGGTTGGCTTCAATGCCTAGAATTCCTTCTAAGTCCTTTCATTCTGGTGCAGTAAATGCTTCCTCATGCACTTTCATGCCTATGGCTAGGCAGCCTTGATATCAGCCCCAGGCTGAGCCAGCAGGGGCAGAAAATCAGCAACCACCTACAGCAGCTAAGACAAAGTGCTGGTATACAGCTGAGTTCCTCAGGGGGCAAAGCCATGCTTGTGGCAGAACTCCAGGTTTCCACTCTGCGAGAAACAAAGGCAACCTAGAAAATTCAGTCCACTGTCAAAGAGAAGCATGGTCTGCTTGGAGGAGAAGCCTCCTATGAGCTCCTCAAGGCCAAGCAGGAGAGGTGTCCCTGCCTGGTCACAAGTGGACACCTTGGCACAGAGGCCAAAATTCTGAGTGACTTTCATGCAAATGCTCAGGCTGGGTGTCGAAAATAATACAGTGCTCACATCACAGATGACATCACAGTTAGTATGCCTCCCCACCCCCTGACGACCCAAGGAACACCCTAAACTGCTGCAGAAATAAAATATTAGTACTTTAGGGATGTTTAAATATCTTATAATGAGGAAGAGTAATTTTCATTTTAAATCTTACTCATTGCCTAAGAATTCCTATTCAGCTAGGAAATCAAGAATTAGGAATTAGATGCACAAAACATCTGTTTCAAGACCTGCTGGTTGGAAGTTGAATTTCCAGCCCTGGAAACTCTCTGCTTGGTCCCAGTTGCAGATGTCACCTTTCAGGGGCACAGAAGAATTACGGTCTTCTCCCTGGAGCCTGCAAATGTCGCCTTGCCCATTTTATGAATCTCTTTGAGCTCAGCATTGGTGCTCAGTGAGCTGTTCCACGTATCTCATTTCTGTTTTTGCTGAACCCACTCCAAGGGTCAACATACATCTCACACCTGGTGACAGAAGTTGGGGGTGGGGCTTGCTAATGTAGTCATTGGCAAAAGTTTTCACCCTGGCTATGGCAATAACTTGAGAAGTGACTGACTTGCAGCCACAGAAAACCTAGCCCTGTGCCCAAAACCCTTGCAGTCTACAATGCCAGCAGTTTTAATAGCACATCTATCAAACACGGGGAGGTTTTTTTTCATTCTGCTCTTTTTTTAATAAATGGGAAAACTGAAATGAGTCGCCATAACTCTACAGCATAATTTTAGAATCCTGGCACGAGACAGTAGCTGCTAAGTGAGGCAAAGTTAAGACTGGGCCCTGTTTTATCTTGCCCTTAAAAGCCTGGGCAAAGCAAACATAAAATCGAATTTAAAATGAATTCCCATGGTTGTGCCAGGCAGCAAGGATACAAAAGGAATTTGAAAAGACAAATGCCTTTTTCCTTTTTCATGGAACTTAACCTTCTTGGTATGGGGGGATACAAGAAAAAAATTAGCAAAAGAGCAAGATAATTCAGATACAAGGGCTGAATTTGAGAGAAACTTCCTCAGTGGGGTTCTTCCAGGTTAGCAAACAGGGAAGGTCTTTCCTCACAGTTGGATTTGATCTCAGATTCAAAGGGTGAGAAGGAGGGACACACGAATATATGTGTTGGAGAGTCTGGGATACAACAGCAGGTGTAAAGATCCTGAGGCAGAAAGTAGCCTAGGTGTAACTGAGGGACCCAAAGGAAGCTAATCAATCTAAAGCCGAAGAGCAAGTGCAAGATGAGGGTAGAGCCGTAGGTGTGGCCCCAGTGACATGTTGTGCCAGGCAGTAGAATCGGATTATGATCTTATTCTAAGTAATGATTTTTAAAGAGGCAAGCGACATGATCTGATTAATGTTTTGAAAGGTCATACTTGATGCTGCGTGGAGAAGAGACATCAGGGAGATTGGAGGTTATACTTTAGGCTATTATTGTAAGCCAAGAAAGAGATGCTGCCGGTTAGGGTGGCCATGAGGTCGTAAAGACTGAGCACAGAAGATGAGTGTGGGGAATCTGGTAGAGCAAAGTTCATGGGATTGTTTGGTGTGGGAAAGAATTGGAATAGTGAGGAATGGTGAGGAATAGTGAGGATGGCATCTCAGTTTTGGAGTAAATTCCTGGGTGGACAGTATATCATCCCATTGCTTGAGGTGTGGCATATTGTGGAGGTTTACAGACCTCAAGGACACTGTTCTGGCTGGCCTTAAGTGTTAAATACTTAATGGGAGTTAGGCAAAAAGAAGCCAATAGGGCTAGAAAGGACCAGGCAGAGGTTTAACTAATAGGGGTTGTGACTTTGGACTGAGGGATACAGCAGCCTGCTAAGACTCAAGGATTCTAGGAAGTCAAAACCCTTCGTTTCCCATTGGCTGGATCTAATAGGGAATCAGAGAGCCAGAGAGTTCATCTGTGCAGTCTAGAGGGTCTTGTCTCCCACAGCACGGACAGAAGGGGATGTTAAAGGGCAGAGGAGGCACCCAGAGGGCAAGAGAAAACATCCAACTTCAAATCCAAGCAAGACACCATGTAGGCAATTGAACTTGGACTCAGTGGAAAGACTAGGGCTGGAAATGTGAACTGATGTCTAACAACATGTACTGTCTCCGAACAGGATGAATTTAGAAGCATTTTCTAAAACTATGCAGGGTTCAATTTAGTAGTCGCCATGGACAAACGTAGAGCAACACAGGGGAAAATGGGGAGCACTACAGTTTAACTGGGAACACATGAAAGTTGTTTAAGGTCTGCATTGCTAAAGAAGCCTTTTAAATAGAGGCAGGATAATTTTGATTAATCCATGACGTTTAAAGTCATGTTCTCTTAGAGAAAATGAAGTAATTTGTGATGCCCTTTTAGAGAATTTTTTAAGTGTTTGCGTATGATCTAACATTTGTGGGAGTCATTAATAATATCTTCAAAAAAAATGTTTTAGCTCACGCCTTAAGTGTATGTAGGCTGAAGAATCACAGGTCTTTGCCAAAATTTAGCTCAGTCAGGATGACAGATGAAGCTGCAACCATGATTCTGTATATGTGTGTGTGTATGTGTGGGTGGGTGGGCTTACTAAGATGAAAACATCTTTAAACTTCAACACAATTCTGCACCACACTAGTAAATATTTAAATGAGAGTATATTCAATCTTTGTTCTTCCAGAAGGGCTAGAGCCAAAAGGTCTCTCTCCACCCCACAAGAAGAGCAAAGCGAAGAAGCCAGAATGTTCCAAAGACTCTAGCGAAGGTAAGTTCTGTCTTTCCTTAAGAAAATAATGCCATGAAAAGAACTTCATTTAGTTTTTAAATTTTGTGTATATTTTCATGTTCATACATTCCTAGGGGCTCAAAAATCACAGAGAAACTCTATTTTCCTTTCCTGACATGTTTACTATTCTGAGTATGTGAGGATGGAAAATCAAAGTTGGGGTTTTTGCTGTTGTGGTTGCTGTTAGGTAAAAAATGAATTTTAAAAATCTCTTTTCTCAGTTTGATTTATTTTCCATCTCTGCAATGTGAGAACAAAAAAAAAATATATATATATATATATATATATATATATATATATATATATATATATATAGTCTTTTTGAGACAGGGTCTCCCTACACAGTTCAGGCTGGTCTTGAGCTCACTTTGTACTCCAGGCTGGCCTTGACCTCACAACAATCCTACTGCCTCAGCCTTCCAAGTTCTGGGATCACAGGCATGCACCGCCATGCCCAGCTCAAAAGCCTTACGTTTTGAAACCACATGAAAGTGAAGGTCAAGAGTTATATATGGTGGCCAGTGTGGTAGCTATGTTTGTTGGTGTAATTTATTTATCTTGTGAATAGCAGTCTTTTCAGAATCAAACCTCAACAGTGGGTGCTGGAGGTGTTTCCTGCTCTTATTGTTCTCTTCCATTTTCTAGAAGCCAAGGTATCCTTATATTTTTGAATAGACGGGTCTAACTGGGCTCACCTTTATGAAGAAATGATGTTGTCATTCAAAGAAGTTATTCAATTTTCTTTTAAAATGTAAGAGGGCTATTTTTCCCCCAGTGAACCTCAATCCCAAATATATGCATCAACTTCTAAAAGTGAGCATACTTATGTATTCTACTTTATTGTCTGGAACTGTACCTCTTCCTCGGTGAAATGAAGAGTATAATGATACTGATGCTGTTGGTTTGGGTCTTGAGGGAACACTATGCCACCATGGAGGAAGAAGTGGAAAATGTGCATTGGATGGGTGCCTGTGAGGGACAAAGGAGGGGAGAAGCAGAGGGAGCTGGAACTGATGAAGAGAGAATGAAAGAGTATTAGCTAGGAAGAGCCTCAAGCTGCAGCAGTTACAGAAAGTTTGGCCGAATGCCTTCAGAAAGTCTGACTACACACAGAGGGAGCCCCGCATTGAGCAAGAATAGCTGGGCTCTAGGCCCTTGCTTGGTTACTCCCTTCAAGCAGCGTGGCGGGAAATTGGCATTGGTATGGATACAGTGCTGTAATGAATCCCCAAAATATGAGTGTAAGTACTATCACCTAACCTCTGTCAAAGCAGGAGCTTCTTTGGAAAGATACCTGTGCTCCTATAACTGTGCACATCTGTGTGAGTGTTGGGGGTCCAGAGGATAAGTAAAGACATGACTGCTGCCCTCATTTGGATCAGAGCTACCAAGAGAAGATAAGGCTGTGAGAAGGTAGAAATCAAAACATTAACTTTATTCCTAATGCAATTAAACCACAGCATCTGCTTGCTTTGGCCCCTTGCTGAATATAAAATACTTGAGCTCTATCCATTCATGAACAAGTCCAGGTGTCCTCAGCTGCCTGGATGAAATCAGCCCAGGAAGCTCATGATAGGAAGAGCAGACCAGGCCGTGTCTATTCTGTAGGTGGGGAGGCCTGAGGCATGCTCCAGAGAGAGCAATGCATGTTCCCTCCCTTCCAAGACAGGAGCAAAGGCTAGACATTTCCTGCTAATACTCGAGAATAGAATGCCTACAGTGCCTAGCAGAGACCTGGCATTCTGTTAGTGATGACCATGCTATCCTGATCAGGACTGTGTTAGGGTGGACACTTGGATTAGCCACCTTTAGGTTTATTCTGGCTCACATTTCAAAGGATTCAGTCTACGGTTGGTTGGCTCCTCCCAGGAACAGCAAAGAAAAGCTTCACAGCCAGGGACAGCCAGGAAGCAGAGAAAGCAGGGAGGAGCCAGGGACAAGACATACCCTTCCAGCTCACTGCCGCCCCACCGCAGTGACTACTTCCAACCTAATGGCCCATTCAACTATGAACTCCACAATGAATGAATCCATGGATGAGTTCAGTGTCCCCATGATCAAATCACCTTTCGAAAGCCCCACCTCTGAACACATGAGACTCTTCAGTGACACCTCAGCTCTAAACCATAACAGCACTGTCACAATGTTTTGAATGCACTTAAAAGTTGGGAACTGCTCAGAAAAGAACACTTACAAGCACAAGGGGGCCAGTGCTTGTGCCTGACCCAAGATGGTGAGCTCAGTTAATGTCTGATGGAGACAGTAGCCAGGACGTCCATCTCCCTGTAACTAGGTCCCTTCCAGGGTGCTTTGTGAAGACCACGTTTAGGAAATGAGTCCAGGGTCTTGTGTCAACAGCTGCTTTTTTCCAGAGAGGCACCACCTTGCTGAGTGGCTCCCAGCCTGTGTGAAAGGTTGTTTTCCAGAGTCTGTGTCTTGCTTGCTACTGAGCCTCAGAAGTCAGTAATAAACTCTAGCTGTTCTGTCACCTTTAATTTAGAAGGGAATTCTTCCAAATTACTCCCTGCAATATGTGGCCCTTTCCTTTACTTCCTAAATCAGTTGCTTTGTTTAGGAACATTATCCTCTAATCCTAGTATGACTCAGTGATACAGCTTCTCCTCCTCCAAATATGTGATCTGTGAGTCAGGAAGTCTAAGATGGAAATGTGAGAACTGTGAGTTTGTTATCAAGATGGTCTGACAGTGGTATCATGGTGAGATGTAAGCATTTAGTCGCTCTCTGGAAACATAAGAATTGTGCTTTTGTTCTTAAGATGGCTTCAAAGACAAATAAAATAGTAGAAATTACTAGGGAAGGAGTGAAAAAGGAGCACAGTCTGACAGGTTGAGGCAGATGGTTCACGATAGGGTGCTTATTATTTATCGGGGTTTTTATTTTGACAAAATAACCTATGTACCTGACTTCATGCACTGTACTGTTCCATACCTTTCATTTCCTGTCATGATACAGAGAGTTACAATCATTCTTTCCTACTGCGTATGCAGATGGAGTACAAGTCCCTGGGCAGAAGCAGACATTATAAGATGGCTATGACCTGTCTAGGTCTGCTTCCTATTTTACATCTATCAATTTCTCTAGCTTGCTTATTGCTCTCATTTTTTTAAGCCAAAGAAGCTTATTATGGATCCCCAGCTCAATACCCTGTCATTTGTCCTCATCTAGCTTCTCTCTTCCTTAAGCATTCTGTCTTACTTCTCGCAAGGGACTACTCATTGCTTCAGTTTACTTTGCAATACACATTTCTCAAAAGGATCCCAGGAAACAAACTCATCTAGGTTTTCCAGCACATGTAATCATAATAAAAATATTTAAATCCAGAAGAACTTGGAGACCATATGTCCAAGTTTTCTTGTTCTGCAAAATTGCTTTTTTTTTTTTTGCGGGGGTGGTTCCGGAACCAGGAACCGAACTCACAACCTTGTGCTTGCCAGGCAGGCACTGTGCCGCTGAGCTAAGTCCCCAGCCCCTCTGCAAAATTTTTAACAGTACAACTTACAAATGGCTCTTTAACTTGCCCAAGTATAAGTAGTTTGCTAAAGTCTCACACTGTTTCTCTTTTTTTTTTTTTCTTCAAGAAAAGACAAAACTTCTCTATTCCTTTTCACTTTCTCTTTTCAGGAAATTGGAACTAGTTTTTTAAAACAGGGAATATTGCCAGCATCATTGGCCTTAAGTGAAGCATTATTACTTTAGTAAATATCTTGCTAAAGTACTGAACATCAAAATTAGAAACTTAACAATTTCTAAATGTTTTTGTTTTCTTTATGGTGATCTTTTGGATGTAGAGTTTTGTTTGTATTATTTTGATTATAATTTGATACTTCAACACACAGCAATATCATGCTAATAATGAACTTATTAGCCATTTCAGACCACTGATCAACTGTCATCTGGTATGAACAATAGTGCTATCTATGACCCAGCATCCTACAGACAGAACTGTTCAGTAAAAGCCTGGTGTTTTAGTTACTTTTCTCATTACTGAGACAAAATACCTGACACCCAAAGTTAAGTGAGTAAGGTTTATTTGGATCACAGTTTGTAGAGGTTTTGGTCCATAATTGCCAACTCCAAGGCAGGGTGGCGTAGCAGAGGAAACAAGGGAGAGACGGAGAAGGGACAAGCCTTTTTCTGTCCCTCATACCTTATGCAGGCTACCTGCCATAGGGCAGGTGTGACACTCACACCCTTAATCCCAGCATTGGGCCATGAATTAATCACAAAGTCTAGATTCAGCTACCTCTAAAAACCTGTCCCCTGTGACAGCATGAGGCTTTGGAAGGACATCCAGACACAAGCCATCATACCTGGTTAATGCCAATGGCACTAATTCTAACTTCCAACAATTTAGACCACTCCCTTTTTCTTGACAAAAATAAATAATTGAAAGAAAATTATTATAGAAAACTCAACATCTTTAATAGAACATGCTGTCACACACTCTTTCCACCACCCTTCAGTAGAAATTCAGATGTTTCTTCGGTGAAGGTTTCTCAGGTTTTATTTGCCTAAAAGTATTATTAATTTTCTCTTTTTAGATTGTAAAAGCAATATCTCTGGGTAAAAATTCAAAGTGAGTGATAATTGTCTTGGAATATTTTAAAGATATCTTCCCACAATATGGTTGATTCTGTGGTTTTTGGGAGGTAATTGTTCTTTTAATATATCTGTCTTTTCTGTCTGCTTTGGTAATCTCGTGTGTGTGTGTGTGTGTGTGTGTGTGTGTGTGTGTGTGTGTGTGTTCCATGGTATCCTTATGATGTATCCAGGTATGGATTTCTTTTTATTTATCCTTTTTAATGTTTACTGTATGTCTGGAATCTGGGAATTTCCATCTATTAATTCTGAAAAGTCTTTAGCCATTGCTCCGCCAAATATTATTTCTCTTTCTTTCTTTCTTTCATTCTTTCTTTCTTTCTTTTTCTTTTTTTCTCCTTGATGACTTCTAAGTCATA